AGCAAAGTGCAGATGCTCAGCTCCGAGGTCCAGAGAAGCAACACTGAGATGTACTCGATAAAGCCTGTCCAGTCCCACGGTAACACACAGGCTCCTTCATTCAACATGCAGACTGAAGGGTTATTTTCTATCTTAAATTAAATCCAAATAAATACATTTAAATTTGTTGATGTAATCTGATAAAATGTGAAAAAACGTAAGGCACCATATCTAAATCAGGTTAAGAAATACCGGTAATTAAAAGTCATATGTAAATGGGAATTATTAGTGTGCAAAGTGAGATTTTCATCAGGGAACCCCTTTAGCTGTTAGCAACAATGGCTCAAATATTTTCTTGAATTTGATCTCTTGTGCATTTGATCAGGACGGGACTGCAGTGACATCAAGGACAGCCTGACTTCAGTCGTCCCAAAGATCCCCAGTGGTATTTACATAATCCATCCAGAAGAAACAGACTCTTCTTTTGAGGTACAAAATGAATTTATGCATTCCCCGTTTGGCTAATTTTCATTGTTAAAACCTAAACAAATGTTGTCAAGGTGTTCTGTGAGATGGACTACATGGAAGGTGGCTGGACAGTGATGCAGAGGAGGACCGATGGATTGAATGACTTCAAACGATCCTGGGCTGATTACCTGGATGGCTTTGGAAACCTTGCAGGTTGTACATACATGCATTCATTATCATTCAAGAATCAGGTTTACCTTAAAACCTTTTCATCAGAAAGACAAATTCAACTCTTTCTCCGATTTATCAAACTAGGAGAAGCCGAAAGCTCCAGTGGAGTTTGATCCTCATCAAATTTCTCCTTCTTTGGTTCTATAGGAGAACACTGGTTGGGTCTGAAGAAGGTTTTTCACATCGTCAACCAGAAAGATGCTCGTTTCCAACTTCACATTGCTCTAGTGTCCAACAACGACGTCACGTCTTACGCTTCCTATGATGACTTCCGCCTCGACAATGAAACCCAGTTCTTCAGAATCCACCTGGGCAGATATGCAGGCAGTGCAGGTCTGACAAAACAAGGAAAACATCTACAGTTATTTTAAACCGTTTGATATGTGACATTATGCATGTGTGTTTTTGCTCAGGTGATGCTTTCCGTGGCTATGAGCAGGAGCAGAACCAGGACACAGCTCCATTTAGCGCCTCAGATGTGGACAACGATGGCTGCAACCCGTCATGCAGCTTTGCCAACAGGACAGTGGAGAGTTGCAGCATCCTGCACAACCACACAGGGTGGTGGTTCAACCAGTGCGGACTGGCAAACCTCAATGGCTCTCCCGAAGACGGGGAACAGAACCAAGGGAAGAGGACACGCATCCTTTGGGACACCTGGAGGCAGAGTGGAGTCCCTTACGCCATCAAATCCGTTACAATGAAGATCAGAAGGCTTGCAACCAACAACTGACACCCAATGAAGAGGGTTGAAGCATTGATTGGCCTCTGACAATTTTACTAATACAGCAAATATTTGGTAGTGCAAAATATTACAACTTTTACTTGAACTTAGATAATACTTTCAAAGAACCTTTCTTAAACTTAGCAGATACTTTCAGGAACTTAACAAGCACTTTCTGAAACGTTCATCAATTTTGACAGATACTTTTAAGAGCTTTTTTTAAATCAAATTTTCTTGAAACTCCTGAGGTAATTTTTGGAACTTTACTGGAATCTACCAAGTACTTTTCAAACATTTATGGAGCTTTTCCTTTATTTCCATTCCAATTCCATGGAAGTACCTGATGAGTTTGGGAAAAGTCTCTTTGAAATTCTGCAAAAGTTATGGAAGATTACCTCAAAGTTCAGCAAAAGCATTGTTAATTAGTGCTAAAGAATGTTTACTATAATTATAATCTTAAACTATTACTACAGCTAATTTTGTTTTGTCCTAAGAGAACAAATTTATGCATCAAACTTTGGCACAAATGCCATCAACAATTGACCACTGTTACAAGTAGAAATCCCTGATGTGCACGGAAATTATGTGATTTTTGTTCAACTCTGCTAGTTCTTTTTAACTGTCACAATTTTTTTCTATGTAACCTGTCTTTGTTTGTTATATTTGATTCTAAATGTTTGTTAAGAAAAACTGCAATGACAAACATTTACATCTTCATCAAGAGAAAATGAAAACAGTCAAACCAAAGCTTTTTATAGTTGGTTTTTATTTATATGATTTTAAGATTTTACACATTACAAGTGGACAATAAAGTCTTTCTGCATTTATACGTCATATGTCAAGTTTTGTTGAAATATTGATGGTAAGGAAGCCATAAAACATTTCTAGAAATCCTTTGTCTTTCTCATCATTTCTCTGCTGATTGAAAGCAAATTTTAAATGAAAAATGTGGAAATGCCTGACATGTAGGGAAAACCTTCCACTCTTTTAGTACTTAATTAAAAGTCTAACAATTAAATAATATTGAATAAAATATATTTGATCAAATCAGATAAAGAAGAGCAAAAACCTACAGAATTAGATGGGTTAAAATTATCCAACCAGAACAGCAACAAAAAACATTATTTAAAAGGAGAGTAGCATCTTTCACACTTATCAACTGCTGGGTTCAATTTGTGACCTCTTAGGAGAAATATAGACCGACAGTAGTCTATAAAGGCATTTGGTACCTCTGTTGTTGGAGGAAGCAGGTCCTGGGTTCATGTCCTCAGTCCAGCAGGTGGTGCTAATGACCCCAACTTTAATACGTCAAGAATCAAAACATTTTAAATGCACAAACAAAAAAAGCAATATAAATGATCAGGAATCAGAATTGAGTTTTAAGAAATGTTCAGTAATAGTGGTCAAAATTTGTGTTTAAAGATTTTTTATCTTTTTACTGAGATCTATCTCAGCTGATAATATACAAAGTGACCCACATGCATATAAACACAGACTCTTTATCACACAATCTACACCAAGCAGGTTCCTATTGTTATTGAAACAAAACAACACTCGCCTCCCCAAAAACATATTTATTATTTAAAGTTAATCCATTTAAGTCCTAGTTTCCAAAAGCACTTCCTTTGAAGCATCTGTTATGTAAGAGGTGTGACAACAGTGGACTAAAGGACCATAAAGTTTTATTTGAAATCTTACAGAGCTCAATGTTAGCACAACTTTTACCGCTGCATATCTGGAAGGCTCAACATCTGGCCTTCCAATGTAAATAGAAAACACCTTTTAGATATGAAAAAAAACAAAACAATAAATGTTTGAGATCCTAAAAAGAAAATTGATCAGACAGAGATAATCTGAGTAAACACAAAGCACAGTTATTTATTCAGGTCCAAATTCAAACTGAGCTGGTCTTGTCTGAAAAAAGAAACCATACCCTTTTATTAAATCATAAATAAAGAGTGATTAATCACCTTACTGGTAAGCTGACGTCATCTGTAGGATCAGAAAATCCCTTAAAAAGAGTCAACATAAAATAGGACAAAATATTTCAGTAGCTACAAGTCATGCCCTGATAAAAGGACATTTAAGAATAGGTTGACATCCATGAGGCAGGACAGGGTACAACCAGATTTCTAAAGCACTGGGTATACGGTTCCTTTTGATTAGCAGATGTTTTGATAAAACTCAAATGCATTCACTTCAGGTCACATTTTAATACTGGATGTTGTGCAGCTCTGGAAATGAACATTTTTTAACAAAGTTGATAAGATTCATCTTTCTCCCTTTGTAACTGAACAATGTGAAAACTGCATCTTGTATTAGCCTGGCGTTAATAGTTGTTTGGTGATCTGAAAACGCTAAATATGACAAAAAAGGAAGAATATCTTCTACAACCTTGTACTGGTAGCTTGGTGTGAATATCCAATCTAAAAGAAGAGCTGTTGCGTTACTTTAGCTTTGAAACAAAGACCAGAGAGCTCATCTGAGGAGTCTGCAATCTTCTCACTTACTATCCCACCTTCCTGTTTAGTTCTGCATGCAGAATCATTTAATTTACTTTCTGTTTGTGTGTGTTCGCATGATAAAGGTTTTATTAATGCAGCTGATAACACTGTGGGAACCCTGGCTCGTTGTGTGGTCTGGTATGTGCATATATTGGCAGCGCTCATCAATACACAGCACACACAGATAAAGAATGAGGCTCATCCAGGTGCTTTGCACTCTGTGTTCCCCCCAATCAGACTGTGTATGTTTGGACTGACAGTGTTTACATCCAGATCTCGGGTCTGTTCTGCTCTGTGGAGGAAGTCTCAACAAAAACTCTTACTGGTGACATTCGTCAGTGTTTAGACCTTTTCCTTGAAACCGTCTAACGCTCTCCTAGCATGAAATGTCCAAAGTGACTAATCTTCAGCAATCAGCGCCTTAAAAGGCAGTTTTCTCTCTGACTATCAGACATCAGAGACTCGGTTTTATCAGATTATTTTCAGTTTTATTTTTTTTTTAATGCGTCGCCACTTTTAACGAGAACGAGCTCCAGTCAAGAGATGAGGCAATGATTTTCTAAAATAGAGAAAAGCTAGAAAACAGCATGCACAAATTTAATTTACATGTCTCAGGAATATATGTTTATGTGTGTGTGTTTGTTTTCCCACACTTGACAGGGATCAGCGGAAAGTAGGAGCAGACAGGAAGCAAAGTCTACTGGGAATTTAAACCCAAAGGAATCTCATCTGCAGTTCATCAGCCATCAGTCACTCCTGCATGCATGCACTCGAACACGCACACAAAAAAGTATTTTATGTATAAAAACTTAAGAGGAAGGAATATTCATCTTTTTTTATTCTGAAACTTAACTTTATTAATCCTTCCACAGGTAAGGCAAAGTCAAAGGTCAAGCTAAGAGAGAGAAGAGAGAGAGGAGCTGAAATTAAAGAAAACAAGTTGATCAGAAATTGACCCTCCAGGATCCTTCCATGCCTGTGAGGTCCAACGTGTCATGTAAATAAAAGTATAGTGGGACCCAGAAGGATGCATTCTTTCTCAAGGATGGAGAATAAACAGAGGGGGAGGGCGGCAGAGTGAGCGAGGCAGGAACATGCCACAGGCACTTGACTACTTGTTCACATGAAGCGGGAGCCTCTGCTGCTGGTCATCCTCCAGGATGAACCACAGACCACCGCCAGCCGACCGCATCCACCGGGCTGCCGGTGACACGGACAGATCCAGAGTGAGGAGCCGAGACAACCTGCTCCAATACGATGACTTTGGAGAGGAATACTGCTGTGCTGGGCAATGCCTTGGGTAAGGCTCTGACTTACATCCACTTCTCAGATAAACAAACAATAAACTTCTGTATGGAAGGGTGAGGTCTGGACTGACTGGAACCGTTTAAGTTTTTTGTTGTTAGAGAGATCGAGTTGTAGATTTTCTGCTGTGTTTTTTTTGGGATAGTTGTGTTACAAATAAAATACTGTGATAGATTAATAGGTTCACGGTTGACTCTCGATGGCTGTAAAATAAATTTAAGTCACCGCCTCACTTCCACCACCGTACGTCACTATTTTTATGAGGTATTTGTGTTGACATGCCTTCAGCTTGTCTGGATGTGGTTTTCTAACCCTCTAAAAGTCATTGCTGATATTTTCCAACCCTGATGTTGTGCGAACATACACCTGTGTGCACTAGATGATAAACTCCTGCTTTTGTTGTTAGAGTCTCACTGACTGACAATAATCTATTGAACAGTTAATATATTTTTTAAGCTTTTTACTCCCAGTTTTTCCACTTTGGCTTCATCTTTGTTGAATACACCATGACAGTGTGGGATTTGATTGGTCTGTCTCTTTCAGAGTTAGATCGAAGTAGCATTAAAACTTGGTAGAGACCAGATCCATTTTATTACGTCCTGACATGAACCGTATGTCTCCCTGATTCCCAGCAGGCACAGCAGCGCTGACAGGTCGCTCACAGCTCGCCTCAGCGCTGCTAAACGCCGCCAGGCTATGCGCGGTCCTGCCTACATGTTCTCAGCTCCTTCCTTCAGCCTGTCAGAGGTCGACCAGCGTTTCCTGGAGGCAGCTGAGTACGGCAACATCCCAGAGGTGCGCCGGATGCTGCTCCATATCCCCAACCTGAACGTCAATGCGGTGGACTACATGGGACAGAATGCGCTGCAGCTTGCTGTGGCCAACGAACATCTGGAGGTGACAGAGCTGCTGCTGGGGAGGGCGGATCTGGCCAGAGTGGGAGATGCTCTCCTGTTAGCCATCAGTAAGAAATTTGCACTTGTGCATGCATAGACAAAAATTTGCTTGGAAACTCAATGGAGGAGTTTAGCAGTGCCTCTTCTACTACTTTTAAGGTCCTTAAAGTTAATTGTTAGGATTTTGGATTTTTGAGTTTTTTTTTTTTTTGGTTTTGTTAGTTTCTATTTTCCCTTCAGTTCCTTCTTAGTGATTCTAGTTATTTTTATTTATTGTCTTTCTTACTCTAGTTTACTTGTTCCTTTGTCTAGTTATTTTGTTAGATTTACTTCCTGGTTGCCAGTGTTCTGTACCTCTTATTCACTGGCTCCTTCTGTTTCACTTCATGTTTCCTTGCTGTTATTTCCCATGGATTTCTGTTTTTGTTCTGCTCTGGCTCCCTAGCAAAAGGTGAACCACATATGCAGATACTTTTTTTAAACTTTCAAATTTGCATTTTACTTGCATATAAACTAAATTTTACTTTTGTTTCACAATGTTTTAACAGCTTTTTTCTACGTTTACTCTAGGTAAAGGTTATGTCCGTATCACAGAGGCTCTGCTCAGTCACCCCTCGTTTAGAGACGATCACCGTCTGACCGCAAGTCCGGCTCAAGTAGACATGTTGGATGACTTCTATGCCTATGACGAAGATGGGACAAGGTACGACTGGTAAAGAAGCACCATAATGAGGTCAACCACTGAAAAAAGCAAAACCTAATAAAATTTGTGAAGGGGCAATAAGACAATAAGACTACCTCAATTTGAATTATTCATTTAATCAGACATTAAACTGGTCTGAAAACAAAATATGTCCACCGTTTTTGAGTCTGAAGATAAATACAACTGTCTTAAGTTATTTATATAAATTTTTACTAAGGTGCCCTAGTTAAGGCCAACTTCTTGGTCGACTGAAAACATTGTTGCTGCCATGCTTATCCTCATAGGTTTTCTCATGATGTGACTCCAGTGATACTTGCAGCCCACTGCCAGGAATATGAGATAGTTCACACGCTCCTGAGCAAAGGCGCCCGTATCGACCCTCCTCACGACTACTTCTGTGGCTGCGACTCGTGTAATTATCAGCAGCAGTACGATTCCTTCAGCCACTCCCGTTCCAGGATCAATGCCTACAGAGGCCTGGCCAGTCCTGCATACCTCTCCCTGTCCAATGAGGACCCGGTGCTGGCGGCCTTGGAGCTCAGCAATGAGCTGGCCATGCTGGCTGACATCGAGAAGGAGTTTAAGGTCAGTGGAAAACATCCTGTCAGTGCAACTGACAGGATGCACTGACAAGTCAGAGTTGCATTAATGGCATCGGTTCTGTTTGAAATTGTTCTTGCTGTTTGCTCTCTAAATTTTCTAAAGTCCTGTATGTGATTTTTTTTTTAAAATTGTTATTATTTTGAACTAACAGATCTCCATCCTTTTCAGTACTTGAATTTACTTAAGGACATACAGCAGGAACAGAAAGAAAGCAGTACAGCTTAAGATTATTTACACTTATAAAAAGTATTTGATAAAGATTACAATTTGTTACTTTAAAAATTACAGGTTTATATGAAAAGGAATAGAAGTTTTGCTCCTAACTGTTTGATCATAACGGGAATCCGTTTATGTAGGTTAATAATGAAGATATTAAAGGTGGAGTCCCACAAGGCTTAATGTTGGGACCTAAAAGTTTTAATGTAAATATTAGTGATACTGAAGTATAGTTTCTTTTGTTTCTTTTTTAACCAACAAGAAAGAACAATAGATGCTGCAATAGTAAAACTCTATTTTGTTGTTGAATGTTGTTGAATTTATGTAAATTCAGTAGTAACTGAATTTACATAAAATACATAACCTGAATCTTGGGGTCTGAGGTAAAACTAAGAATGCTTTGCATTTTTGGGATCCAATTTTGTTTTGGACTTTTTCTGCAGAATGACTACAGTCGCCTGTCAAACCAGTGTAAGGATTATGTGGTGGGCCTTCTGGATCTCTGTCGCAGCACAGAGGAAGTGGAAGCCATCTTGAATGGAGAAACAGTTTCTGACGACAGTTTCGATATGCCAGGTCGTCCCTCCCTCACACGCCTCAAATTAGCCATCAAATACGAACTCAAAAAGGTAACCAGGCATTCAAACAAACAATAGAGTTCATTTCTTTCAGTGGTGTTGTCAAATCTGTGAGGAGAATTTACAAAGCGGTGCGAAATGTTTGATTTTTAACAAATGTTTCGCTCCCATGATTTGGTGGATTGCGCAAAAATAGCAACAATGCTCTTTTAGCATGGATGATGTGAAGCACCGATAGGTTTGGTAGTTTCACTCATCTGCAGCTTGAAATGTGATTTCTGAAAATCATTTCATATTTTGAATGATTAGTGGAAACCATCCCATTCTGGATTTGTCCATTTTAAAGAAAAGAACTGAGTCTTTCTTTTAAAAGCAGTACTTTAACATTTGTGAATTCAGAATAAAATATTCAATTCCTTATTCTATTTTTGTTTTTTATGCACAGATAAAACACCTCCTTCATTCTCTCGAGAAGAGAATCATTTGGATTCAAGCAAACAGAACATAAAAGACAACATTGACAAAAAAAAGTTAATCATATTTCATTTCAAATCTGTCCATATAATTCTAGATTATGTGCTGTTTTCTCTCCATGACATTTATTTGAGTTCAGCATCAATGTGAAGACCCCTGGTTTTATCTTTGTCCAGGAGGTGACCTTTAAATCCTATTTTAAGCAGATTTCCAGGACATCACCGTCTGTGTGGTGTTGCCAAAAATAGAAATATTCCAGCCCAGCGAGAAATAGACAAAATAGTCCATGCATTTGTTACTTTATGGCTGAACTAATGTAACTTTGCAGGAACGGGAAGTCTCCCAAAAATGAAAAAATTCAGAACTGGAGTTTTTCTCTTTAGTTTTATCTCCTTTTTCTTGGCTCTCTGTTAAAACAAACAAAATAAATTGTCTTTAAACATCTAAGACTGAAATTTTCATAAATTCCTGTTATATGATCCTCATAAATTGACTGCTGTGCAACATACTGTATTTTCCAGAATATAAGGCACATTGTTTGCACAATTTGGCGTCTAGAAGATTCTGTAGTTTTCACTGTTTGTGACTAAATTGCTTTGGAAAGAACTGGATTGATTCTGAATTAGATCCTGTCTAACGTTAAATGAACAGGATTTGTTTGTCTCATAAAATGATTTAACATCAGATTTATTGTGAATTAGTTGTATATAAACTGAATTTAGCTGTCTGATGATGTTTTAACCCAGCTCTGTTTTCCTCCAGTTCGTTGCTCATCCAAACTGCCAGCAGCAGCTGCTGAGTATTTGGTACGAGAACCTGCCCGGCCTGAGACAACAAACCACTGCTGTGAAGCTGCTGGTGGTGTTGGCTGTGGCTATAGGACTCCCTGGACTGGCTGTGGCTTACTGGGTCACTCCGTGCGGCAGAGTATGCAACAGGCTTAGATTTTACCCACTAGCCGCCGGATCTCTCATGCTCTTCACTCTGTTCTCAGGTGGGAAAAGTTATGCGCAGCCCCTTCATGAAGTTTGTCGCCCACGCTTCGTCCTTCACCATCTTCCTGGGCTTGCTCATCCTGAATGCAGCGGACCGCTTTGCAGGCACCACGCTGTTGCCAAACATGACCCACCATCAGCAGCCTGGAAGTTCACAACTCAAGCTGGACCCTCTGCTGCTTCACCGCAAGACCACCACCCCCTTCACCTGGATGGAGATCCTAATCATTTCATGGGTCATGGGTGAGTGGAAGATGACAATACATGGAACCAACTAAAGCAAATGTTAAAACAAGGATGTGACCTTTGACCTGTGCTGCTTTAGGCATGATTTGGGCTGAAGTGAAGGAGATCTGGAGTCAGGGACCTGGAGAGTACCTGGTGGAACCGTGGAACTTCCTGGACTTTGGGATGCTGGCCATTTTTCTGGCCTCGTTCAGCTGCCGCTTCTCTGCAATGAAGCAAGCTGACTTGGCTCAGGCCTATGTGTACAAAAACTGCAAAACTCTGGTCCAACTTCCCCCAGAGATACACTACTTCACTCTGGGTAAGCACACACACACACATGCACACACTCACACATCTAGTATCACCAGTTAAAAGTTAGGGCATTTCTTGATAACTTCAGGGAACCAGTTAGAAGCTGCAAAAGATTTAAGATGGAAAGTGTAATCATATGTTAGAATGGCCAAGTCAAAGTCAGGACCTAAATCCAGTTGAGAAGAAATGAAAGCCTGGACCATTTTTCAGAGAGGAATGAATTAAACGTCTCTGGAGTTTCACAGACCAAAATAGTTGCAATTACAATTTTATTGAACAAAAAAACTGACTCAACAGGGTTTCTACAGGTTTCACCAATTCAAATTTGAGACCTTTTTAAAACCATTATGAGTAGAATTTAAGACCTTTATGTACAATGTACAAAAGAAAATAGCAAGTAAATAAATTTGGGTTGGCAACTGAAGTGATACAATGAATTTGCACTTACCCATAATGTCAGATAGCTAAACCCTTTCTGGCTAGCTTGCCAGCAAGAGTATATTAGCAGCTAGTTATTAGCAGCCAGCTGTGCCTTGAGTCACAGAACGCAGTGAACCCAGACTCAAAGTTTTTTGTAACAATAAAGTCCTGCAAGAAAAAAGTCAGCTACATAGAGTATATGAGATAAAATAGTCCAGCCAAGACAAAATTTAAAACCTAAAATTAATGTGCTTAAGGCTGGATTGTAGTTTTGATGAATTTAAGACATTTCAAACATACTCAGGTGGGCTAAAAAGTAAAGACAAACCACAGTTTTCAGAAAATGTTAATCATCTTAATTTTCTTTTCCAGCCATGATTGTGCAAAACTTTGTGTTGGTCCATCACGTAAAATCTTAATTCAAACCATTAAAGTTTATTCATTGTAACATGAAGTAGAGCTGCTGCTCCTCTACATCAAAAGAAGTTACAGTAGTTATGGCTTTCAAAGTCCTTCTGCTTTTGTCATTCAAACTAAAACTAATTCTAATTATGGCTGCTGTCACAACAGTGTGGTCACATTTCCACTTTAAGACAAATCATGTTTTCATTGGCAGCAGATATCCTAATGCTTCCCAGCTGATCTTTGCCGGTTTTGCAGCTCGTATCCACTGGACGCCGTCAGATCCTCAGCTCGTGTCGGAGGGTCTTTATGCCATCGCAGTTGTGCTGAGCTTCTCTCGAATTGCTTACATCCTGCCAGCCAACGAGAGCTTTGGGCCGCTCCAGATCTCTTTAGGAAGAACCGTCAAAGACATCTTCAAGTTCATGGTCATCTTCCTGCTGGTCTTTCTGGCGTTCATGATTGGCATGTTCAACCTGTATTCTTACTACCTGGGAGCGAAGCAGAATGACGCCTTCACCACGTGAGACATTCATGCACACATGATTATCCTACTTGTGAATCACTTCATACTGTAAGTGATGCTTTTATTAAAGAACAATGCTAATTATTTCTGAATTAAATTGGTTAATGTTTTGTGAAAAAAAAGAAAAACAAAGATTAAACTATATTGCCCTCATTAGTTTCTTGATCAGAGTGTTGCAGTGATCTGTTGTTTTTTAACAAATCTGATTTGGCCAGACGCTATTTTTCTAAAATACGGTACACCTGTTTTTATCAGGTTTTTGAGTTTAAGTTTGACTTTGTGTTTGCCTTTATTGAACACAGTGTAATTAAAGAATAAAAAAAGTTATATGAAAACAAAATACATTTAAAACAAAAGCAAACAAGAGAAAAACAGTAGTAAAGAATATGTAAGCAAGCATTACTGTTAACAAGTTAAAAAAATATTTCTAAATGAATATACCAAAATGCAGTAATAATTGACAATAAATACAACAACCTTGATAATAACAGAAGAAAATCACAGAGAATGTTAGACTTGCCTTCTCAATCTCATTCTTATAGGAATTATTGCTTTTCTTCTACCTTTTCCAGAGGGTTACTCTCTATTTAGATATTAGAGAGGATATTGGAAACAGGCTTCCAGCCGTCGGATTGCTTTGTTTGTGTTTAATAGTTTGCTTAAATTAAAAACGTTCCCTTCTGTATGTTCATGTAGCCTGGAGGAGAGCTTCAAGACGTTGTTCTGGGCTATATTTGGACTCTCTGAGGTCAAGTCTGTAGTCATCAACAATGGACACAAGTTCATTGAGAACATTGGCTACGTACTGTATGGGGTTTACAACGTTACCATGGTCATAGTGCTGCTCAACATGCTCATCGCCATGATTAACAGCTCCTTCCAGGAGATAGAGGTACGTCACTGAAGTATATTGCATTACCATGTGGTCCAGGTATAAGCATATAAATATGAAGTTGTGTGTTGGAAATATTTGCACTCCTTTGTAGAATAAGCTTTTTTTGTGTTCATAAAAATGGATTTAGATGCTTTACTGCACACAACTCTATCTGAACATAAATATTTAACAGATAAAACACATGTATTCAGTCTCAGACTGCCTGAAATAAAAATGAGCACAAACAACTGACTTCAAAAGTCACTTTATTGGTAGAGAATCTCAGTATAAATCAAATTGTTCTGTTAAAGCTTTTGAGGTTTATAGCATTATGAAGACCAAGACATGTTAAACTCAAAGTTGTGAAGACATTTAATGCATAAATTAAATTAAGGCAAGAAGAAGAAAACAATTCTTGAAAGGATGCAGTGAGAAGTTTTGTTGGAAGTCCGAAATCCAGCAAGTTTGTGGACGATGAAAACAAAATGGAAACTTTTTGACGAACAGACAAAATTATTTATATGGCAAAAACCAAACTGAACGCAAGGTAGTGGCAGTGTAATGCTGTGTAGGTATTGTGATTAATGGATCTCAGCATGTTGATGTGTTAGAATGGCCCAGTCAAAGTCCAGATGTTTCTGTCTCTGGATGTGCAACAGTGGTCGAGCCAAACTGAAAAAACTCGCAGTTTTAACTCACCACTTTTTTCTTAGTTTTATGTGTAAAAATAATTTATCTTCCATAATTAAATGGAAGATATTTAATTTATCTTCCATTTCATAAACAAGAACTACTTTGTGTTATATTATGAAATTTCAATAAAATATGTTAAACTATGTCAGAATTTGAAACAAATGCTCCAGCTGTTTGAACATACTTGCAAGGCGATGTAAAAAAACAAAAACAAAAAAGAGAGGCATGTTTCTGCAGTCTGGCCGTCCAGAAGCACCATGTCCAGATATAGTTGGGGTTGTTTGTCCAGATGATCTCGTAAATTTCTTTTGTTATCTTTGGACAAACAAACCAGAAGTTTCCAACCTGTAAGGGATGCCAATGTGTGTTTTTCCCCCCAACACAACCAAGACAATCAATCTGACTGCTATCAGTGTTTTAATCTGGCTTTCAATAAATTGCAATGGCTGTTTATTTTTTTTGTAGTGCATCCCTAGATCTAAAGTGTGATGTAGCCCATCTCTCTTTTCTCCCTGAACCAGACCTTTCCACTGTTTTGCAGGTCTAAATATGTATGTAAAATGTTCACAATGACACCAAATTACTTAATACAACAGATTTTTTTATTTCTGTCTTTGTTACATGTCATTTAATTATGCCATCTTTATTTCTAGGTAGACCATCACTGATTAATTTTCTAAATCTGATTTTGAATCAATTTATTCCCAAAAGATATTTAATTTTCTACTTTAACCCTCTCCAGGCAGGTGTTGCAGATTTGCAACAACTTAAACAGTCTTTTCAAGTAATTTGAGCCTGAGAGGGTTGACCCTGTTTTTTTGCTTTTTCATTTTCCATTTTGTTCCTCTGCAGGACGATGCTGATGTCGAGTGGAAGTTTGCTCGGGCAAAACTTTGGTTTTCTTATTTTGAAGAGGGAAGGACACTTCCTGTCCCATTCAATCTGGTCCCCAGTCCAAAGTCTGTGCTCGGACTGGCCACTGCCATAAAGTCCTTGCTCTTAAATGTGTCTCACAGACACAGGGAGAAGAAAACTGAGACACAACTTAATCAGGTATACAAATTCAACATATAATGACTTACAACATATGATAAAGTTTTTATGTTTCTTAAAATTTCTCAGATTTGGTCTTACAGATGTTTTTAACTCTTCCAGAAAGCACAGATTTGCAGAGTGAACAACTAACAATTTTCCTATCTATAGATTCTCTCAGCTATTTTGACTGAGACTGAAATGAATATCTTATCTGCATCCTCCATGAGCCGGTTTATCATTTTTATACCTGAACCTCAAGTAGCTTGGAGTGTTCATTGATCTCCATTATGCAGTTTATTCAGTGATGTACTTTTTTTTTTCATAAAACATTTTGAAACCCATATATAATTTCCAGCTTCTTTGCAGCTACATTTAATTATTACAGCTAATTAATAAAAAATAAAACAATAAATCTAAATGAACTACATTAAAGTTGTGGTTGTAAACAAATGCAGCGGCTGAAAAGTGAATGAAATTATCTTTAGCGCCCTCTAGTGGTATTAAGCATTCATTGAGGATCAAACTCACCTGAGAGCAAAGTTAAATTAATTACTGTCTTTTTAGTTTAATTAAATCAAATTACATAACATATATGAGTTTTTTCTGCAGCTTGGGGAGAGCAAAAATCCAGCATATGGCGGTTCAAATGGTTCAACAAGATATGAGGTGAGTGTTGAAGTAGTTTAGTGTTTTATTATATATTGTATAAAATTAACCTCTATAAATTTACAATGGATTTTCTTAAATAATGCTATATTCCCCATCTTTTCCTTCACTGACTGCAGAAGATCATGAAGCGACTAATCAAGCGTTATATAATCAAAGCTCAAGCAGACAGAGAGAGCGACGAGATCACAGAAGGTAATATAAACTGAGCTCTGTGTGTTTATTATAACTTTGTGACAATAAATACTTGGTCTGTGGTATTTATTTTTCTATTAAAAACATGAGGCATACATTTTTTAGAGTGATCATTGCAAAACTGCCAAGCCATAAGTGTCTGCAATTATCCATTCCTGATTAAATTTTCCATCTTATGTATCTTACCTAAGATGGTATAGATGGTATCTATACCAGAAACTTTATTGCATCTGTTCTGGTCCAGGTGAGCTGAAAGAGATCAAACAGGACATCTCGAGCCTGCGATATGAGCTGCTGGAGGAGAAATCCCAGAACATGGAGACGCTTGACGGACTGTTGAGGAGGCTGGGAGAGTTCAGCACGCCATCATCTTAGTGCTCAACCTCTAGCTAAATGCTCACAGCTTGCTAAGTGCCTTTGAAATGTCACTAAATGCCCCTGCATTTGGGTAGCGGCATTACCAGGTTACACAGTAGAGTGATGTGAATACAAAGATGTAAATTCATTATGATTGGTAATATTCCAGAACTTTTAATTTTTACACAAATAAATGTGCAAATGAGAGTAAAAATCTTCTAAGTTTTCCCTAAAAATGTTAAACATGTGGTTCTGTCTTGAGGTTTGGTGGGAAAATGATTCTTAAAAGCTCAGGAACTGAGCTACAGGTGAGCTCTCATCAGTTTCTGCAGCACTTTTAAAATGACAGGTTTTTTGTGAGACAAAAACAATAGATTGTGATAAATCAACTAATTTTGTTCCTCCTTTTAGATGAAAGAAAATCCAGGAATGTCATATGCTTTCATACTCTTAAACTAAAGCTGTTTTTTCAATTTCAGGGTTCAGTCTTTTACGTTTCATGTGTTCATCACAAAATCCTGGTATTTTCAGAGCTGTGTATACTTTTGAGAGCAACTTTCTTCTGTTCAGTTTTTTAAATGTTTTCCTTGAATGTGTCATAGTTTGTGTTTGTTATAATTCTTGAACATAAATATACCATATATCAGTCATAAATTAATAAAAACAATCAGCATCCATGCATACAGTGTACTATTTGAAGGTTTTGTTTTTATTTAGACAGCAGTAAAGCTGGCAGAGAGGACATAAAAAACATCATACAGTTCAAGGCACTGAGGTGTGAACATTGAATTTCTAGACAGACTGATGAAACATTAAAACATAAATTATCAAGATTAATAGAAAAATACTGCTTCTATGTACCTCTTACATATGTTTACTGAATACATAACTATCAGAATGACTAAACAGAAAATACAAAAAGGTGATACTGACAAGCTAAGCCGTATACGTCAAGTATTACCATCTACTGCGCCGTATGCAGTAGGCCGATAACTCATGCTGCAACACAGTAGTCAGTGATAATAGTCACAGTATCATGGTTTTGATTCTTTAAAAATTTTAAAAGCTGAGTCAGGTCTTTGTGATTATTTCATGCGCCGACGGTTCGTCAGGCTTGTCAGATATATTTGATGTAATTTTCAGGTATAAGGCCAGTTCTGCCTTTATATGTCGCCTGAAGCCAACCCGGTTCCACAGATGGACCCACTGCGAAAACAACAAAACAGAAATCACTCGAAAACTCAGACAATAAAGACGCAGACTTTTATAGCCCTTCTACAAACACATAAGAGATGCTCAGAGAAATTGTGTGGAGAGTGGAATTAGACAACTTTCTGCTTGACCGGGTGGTCAGATCTTTTTCCAATCAGTGAACACACCGTACTTAGCAAGAACACATTGTTCTGACAATAACACTCTTAAGTTTGGAAGTTGTTATTGTGTGAAAAAGACTCGTAAGAAGCAATTTAAAACAGTATTTTCTACACCATGGTGTCTGTGGTTGGTTCTGTGGTTGGTTCAGCAAAGCTGATCTGGTCCTTTTCTGCCTATTCTAGACTGATGTGAAAGGAGCAAATAGTGATATGTATCCACAACAAGACCAGTCATTTGGTCAATCACGAATTAGCTTAATATTTAATTTAATAAGCCAAAACACACTTCAAAAATAGCGTAAGATATTTATGCCGTATGTTAAAAACAAAATCTACATTTGGATAAAGAAAGGGGTCAAACAACCATAAGATATGCATGAAAAAGAGGAAAAAAATCAAAACAAAACAGAACATTACTTTTCTCTCAGTGTAAGATCATGAAAAATTCAGATTTAAAATCAGTGGGTAGATTTTATTTTGTGCACATCAACTCTCAGAAACAAAATCTTACCATTTGTGAACAGCGCCCCTTGTGGAAAACTTAGTTCATGGCTGTGCTCTGCTTCACAGGAGTACAGAGCTCTAGCTTCCCTGCAGGTGGGGATTAAAAAGGCGCTCACTAATTGAGTTAACGAGGGATTCATTCATGAAGATGTGCTGCTCAAGAGGCGACAGCTTTGAACTGCCTTACCTTCCAGAGGGACAAATGTCTAACGCTGAGGAGAACACTGAACTCTCACGCTGAGGCTGCCTGACTGATAATCTGCAACACAAACACAACATTAAAAAAATCATTTTTCTGAAGTAAATTATCACAATGAAGTAATATGTTTAGTTTTCATATAATTTGTGATGACAATCACAGCACACAGATGGGTTTTAGTCAACAGTCTGCTTTTCCTTCCTCCTGAGCTTTTCTTTCTCAGATCCTTAAAACACAAAAATGTTAAACTGAAGTGAAACATCTTAAAGTTGATGCTCACAGTGAGATGGGCCTTGAGTAGCCGTTGCTAGATGTCGCTGCAGAGAGCTGCGGGGTCAGATCCGAGCCACAGCGGTTGTGACCTTTCCTCGCTTTCGCTCTCTCCTGTTGCTCCAGCGACATGAGGCTCTGCACCGACCCATGACAGCTTTTGTAATCTTCAACCAAACACAAGAGATCAGAATCACGGCTGCACAGTGGTAAAAGTGGCAAAAGAAAAGGAGTCTTTCACGCACCTTCTGAAATGTGCAAGGAGGTGAGAGAGGATGATGTGGAAAGCCGGTAGGGAAACAGAGAAGAGGAGGAAGAAGAGGAGGAGGAGGCAGTGCTGTGTTGTGGAGGAGAGGTAGATTCTGTTCCTCTGACTTCTGTGGCCACAGCAGAGGATGCGTTTTTTCGTTCCTCTGACTGAGAGCTCTTCAGGGAGGAGACGGAGGCTGCTTTCTCCCTGACCGGGGAGGAACGATTCCCTGACGCGGGCTGCACTGAAGCTGTGGAAGCACATCTTGAGTCTTTCGCAGAAGACAAAGACACAGTTGAATTTCTGTTGAAAGACCTCTCCACTGCAGAGAGTAAGGAGGATGTGGAGGAGGACACAGAGGAAGTCTGCTCGGCAGAGGACAGTGGAGCGGCGATCCAGGAAGAGGAAGGTGTCAGGCGGGGGGAGGGAGAGTTGTCTGGAGACGCTTTCTGATCTTTCCCATTGCGTGGCGGCGAGCTGGAGGAAGTCGAAGGAGGGGAACACTGTGCTGTGGGGGGCGAGCCAGGCTCAGCGGCGGGAGAGGATGGAGGAGAGGTCTGAGACAATCCGTTTTTTTCAGAGGAGTGTGACGACAACGACTCCTGGCTTCCCATCGGAGTCGTATCAGGACTGCTGCTGAACGTGTCGCCTGAAAAACAAGAGGAAACGCCACATCACAGACCAAGGAGCCAGACTGTTGACCTATTGTCTGGCGGTCCTGATGATATATGATACAACTCCAAGCAATGCCCACATGTGAATACAGTTACAATGAAAACATTGAGAAAAAACAGTCACAGGAAGATCTGACTCAGCACAAATGGCTATAAAAGTCTTGAGTAAGGGAACGTTAGCACAGCGAGATGTTAGCTGAAGTGCTGACGTCAACTCGCTTCCTCTGGTTTGATATGACGAGAAAATTCTGCTAATATTTTTTTCTTTAATTAACTGCAAGGAGAAAGACTTAAAATAAATATTTCCCAATTTGTGCTTTGCGTCTTCAAGTCTTTACCTCACAGCAGTCCAAATTATAAAGTGTTGACTGGATTCAGACCAGTGAAATTATTAATTTGATTAATCATGTTGAATCGATTATTGAATTAATCAGCAACTAATTTAGTGATGAAATAATTGTTAATTGGAATATAATAACTCTAAAAATGCACACACAGAGCAGTAATTAAGACTTTAAAAATAATTATTGGGCACATTTTGCCATTCAATCATTAACTGGCTAATCTAAAAAAATAATCAGTTAATTTGCAAGTTATCAAGCGTTCACTAAAAGAATGCTGTTAATGCATTTTAGGAGGTAAAATGTTTATTTTCTTATTTAGAAAGAGACCTGAATTATTTATATGTAATCTTAATTTAATCATAGTATAAAAAGTTTTTATGTCATTCAAAAAAATCTTCAGAATGTGATCAGTTTTTAATAATTGCTATCTAAAATAATCGACTGACTTGAGGTTAAGTCGATATTAAAATTATAGTCTGGACTTTTGAGAGTCACTCTGCACAAAGTGAATATGAATGTTTTTTTAAAAATTATTTAAGTCCAATAAAGAGACTTCCCTACCTGGAAGCCTAATATACATGGTAATATTGTGTTATTTATAAGATACATTAAAAGACTCACTGTCATTATCTGCCAGGCACAGAGCAGGAGTGTACAGACGGGCCTTTCTCTTTCCAGATGACAGACAGATGGCCTTGCTCCTCCGTGGAGTGGAGCGAGATGACGGCGCCTGAGGCAGCGGCACTGACAGGTCCGGAGCCTCACCAAAGATCTGATGCAAACACCAACAGTTGACATCAATGTGAGTGGACTCTGTGCTTTTATGTGAGTGGCATCTTTAAACTCACTTTGTCGTGGTTTTCAATGATGAGCTCCACCACAATGTTCTGAAACTTGATGTTCATCATGGCGGCCACCGTCTCCTCCTGTGACCTCATCAACGTGGGGCCAAAGATCATCCCAAGGTTAGATACGGTCATCATGTTCTGATCACTGTGAGAGGATACCCTGCACACCAAAACAAAAACACAGGGGGTTAGCTATATAGATATATACACAGAGGAATTTGGCAAATACAAACAAATGAGCTCCAATTTAAAAGACAAAATGGATTAGAATTTTACTTCATAAATCATTTTTAAACACAGCTTTAAAACAGAAATGGTAGTAAAAGCTAAACAAAAAGAGCACCATGAAATTATGCACGTACTTGTGAAGATGATTACTTAAAATGTCCAACATCGTTTTGTTTTTTTCTGGGAGTTTGTGTACAAGAGCATGAATTGCTCTCACTCTGTATGTCTGGTCATCATATTCTGTGAGAGAAGCAGAGAGTGATGAGGGAATGAGGGAGGAACCTGGTGTGCTTTAACTTTACCCTAAATAAACTTGACAAAGCAACAAATTCAAGCTAGCAGCAACTTAAATAAAATACCTTTCAAAAGTTGAAGAAAAATCAACTTCTCACCTCAAAATCCTTAAACCGTTATTTTATTGAGATTTTATGCAATAGATAAACACAAAGAACAAAATAATTGTGCGGTGGCAGTAAAACAATACTGCTTTTACAATTTAGGTTTTGACTTTGACTGGGCCAGTCGAACACATAATTATTAGATCAATGCTGTTGTAGCTCTGGCTGTAGACTTAGGGTCAATGCAGGATCTACATCTCAAAGACGAAAGTGTGTCATGTGTCACAGTTAGACTGATGAAGGCCAGAAAGTTTAACTTTTAACTTCGCACCTTCTTTCATGTCTGCTGTGACCTCTACCTGAAAAACTGCAAATCAGCATTAGAATGCTAAGCTACAGATCTCTGCAGCATCTCTGCCGTTTGCACAGCTAGCATTAACCTTCTTGGTTGTTTCTCTGGTTAATACTCTGCTTGTCCAGTCTGACAATTTAAATGTTCAGTCATTGGTAGGTCATGCAATTCATAATGTTTTCTGTCGTAAAATTAAAAAAATTCTTACTTGCAGCCCTGATGAATTCCTTGTGCAGCCTG